GGCCAGGCTATGGCACCAGGGCAACCTGAGTCCCGTCCAAGCCTCAGCTCAACTTCCACATCTACACCACGGGACGGTGAGAAATTGGCCCACAGAAGGGTGTAGGCAGAGTCAGACTGCCCACAGAGTGAACCAGAGCTGAGCTGCTCAGCTGTCCCCACCACCAGGGTCAGAATTCTGCCCTTCAACTCTCTGTGTGAACTTGAGCAGGTCACTATACCCCTCTGGCCTCAATATGCTCATAAGCAGAATGGGGATAACAAAAGAATTGTCACTTATCCACGCCTGGCATATGATGTCAAATAATTAGCCACTGATTATTTGTATTATCCCAAGGCACCTCCCAGCCTGGGACACCCCTCTTTCCTGGCAGGCTAGGCAAGGGACCGGGCAGAGCCGTGAGAGGGGCGAGTAGAACAGGCTCCGGCATGGCACCTCCAGGTGCCAGCGCTGAGGGAGGTGGTAAAGGGCTGCCCCACCACCCTAGGTGCTCAGAGGGCGTTCTGCTGAAGTGTGGGGAGGGCATCAGCACAGTCACACTTGCGCACGCATGCACACCCTGGACAATGCATGACTAGTGCCCCAAACAGCCACAGCCCAGCACCACAGCCCCGCCCATTCCCGGTGCCCTCTGCCACACCACCCCCAGCAGACCAGAGGACACTTGTGGGTTCGATAGCAGCTCTGCCTCTTGGGTCAACTGACCTTCCCTACATTGGCCTGTGTTCTTCATGTGGAAACAGGGCTCATACCATCCTTCTCCTGTATAAGGAACAAATGACTGACCCGTGGGAAGAGCCTGTGCTCGTTCCCCACACATGAAACATGCCAGTTCCTTCTCCTTCCGCCCTCTCTCTCCTCCGCTCCCCCACCCAGTCCCGTCACTGCCACTGCTGCCTCTCTGTGCCCCATTAAAACAGCCACCCTGCTTCCTCACCACTCAGAAATTTCAGCCTTCTGTGCCCGCCTGCACCATGGTGGCTGAGAGCACCAGTCACCAAAGCAGAGGCAAGCTCTCTCCAGCCTCAGTGCAGCAACGCCCACGGCAGCCCTCAGTCACTGACCCCTAGGCAGCAGCAGAAGCCCGAGCTGCCTCCCTCACTAGAACAACAGGCAGAGAGCAGAGATCCAAAGCACCAGCTAAGCCTTCCCTGCTCGCTGCCCACCCCACCCACAAGAGCGCCCAGCTACCAACCTGGCAACCCTTCACAGGGCCCTTGCCAGGCCACGTTCAAAGGCTTCTTGTGCATCATCTCATCTCATCTCTACATCCCCATGAGGAAGCCACTGCTGGGCCCATTTCACAGATGAACAGACTAACGCACAGATTAGAACACTTTTCAAAGTGACACAGCACACAAGTGGAAATGGCACTGTGAAGCCAGGCGGTCTGGCTCAGAACTTGAGCTCTTCATCTTTCTGCTAAAACCACCAGCGCCTCGGAAATGCCCAGGTCCAGAGGTCTGCTGGGCAGTGAAGAGAGGGCCTGGGTCTTCCTGCTCTGGAGGCCAACTGAGGCGAACACCAAAGTAAGAGTATGTAAAGCAGAGACACTGACCTTTAAAGCCGAAATAAGTCCCCAGGAATAGGAAGTTGTTTAGGGCCCAGGCCTGACCCGCAGACCAATTTGTGCCCTGTTTTAAGTATGAGGGCAGTCTTAGCTTGGGTCAGCTTCTCAGACCTCAGGAAAAGTCAGGCCAGTGAATTCCAGCAGTGATGATGGGGTGGGGTGGGTGTCTGGCGAACCCACCAACCCAGCTAAGGGCTGTGCTGGGTGGTGTCCCCCAGCCTCCTGGGCTGTGCTGGGCGGTGCCCTCAGATGGGGCAGAAAACTGGCAGAGGCTGACATGACCCATGGCCACCCAGCTGCATGCAGAGCCCTGGTGTGACCTGAAGCTCCTCATTCTGCTCTCAGTGATGCTGGTTTCACAACCAGGCCTCCTAGATTTGCACGATGCCTCCCACCAAGTTCCCGGGCCCCCAACACACACAGACTCTGATCCAGCACAGGCTTCTTCTGTTCCAGAGATGACATCTTTGTCCTACAAGTCATAAATAATTGACCACGTCAGATGCTGCATGCACGTGTGCTGGGTGACAGCCTTTCAGTCTGCTACGGCCTCGTGGATTTTAATTTGCCCCTTCCCAGCTCTGCCCAGAAACAGCATCCATGCAGCTAAGGGCTCTCTGCATCTGTGGGCTCTCTGAGTTGTCTGCCAGTCCTCCTGCCTGTACTCCTCCTGGAGCACAGCGGACACCCCACACTTCCCAGCCCCGCAGGGTATGGGACAGCACCTGGAGGTTTTACTCACTGAACAAAACAGGCCTGGGTCCTACTTGGTCAACCAAAGGATGGTAACCGGCTGGGGAGGGCAACTAAGGACAGTTACTGCGGGGTAGCTTCTGTAAGGGGATACACTCTGAGCCGTCCGTGTGCAGAGAGGAAGAGAGGGAAAAGAGTCATGTCCAGAGAGATATATGTGTCCCAAAGAGGGAACCTGGCAGACTGGCCCAGTGGCCCCCTCTTGCAGCCCTGTGGCCTGGTCCAGAGGGGCGTCCCCACTGACTTGATGCAGCCTCCAGCTCCCACTCCACATGCTGTGGCTCCTTGGAGGGCAAACCCCAGCTCCTGGGGTCCTCCTAGAGGACATGGTGACCACGGGCATGGTCTCCAACTCTGTCCCTCCCCATGGGTGGCCCCAAACTGGGGAGCAGTGTGCAGTATAAGGGGGAGTGATGGGTAGGCTGTGGAACCTGGAGTGGGGAACTGGGCTGAACCATGCCTCAGCCACCAGTGTCCACCCCTACTACTGCTAGGAAGGAAACAAACCGCTCCCTTTCATTGGTTGCTGTTGTTAAAATTAATGAGCTAGTTAACCTGTAATAAAAGGTTTCTTGTACACTTAAGAGATGACCAACCACAGCAGGTTAAAAATTATTAACACTCTTCCTCTAGGCAGTCTGCCTGGATTGGGTCTACTGGGCATAGTTTCTCCTGGCTAGAATGGCAGGCAGGCTGTGCTGGCCTGTGCAGCGGCCATCCAAGCTGATGAGGACTGTGTCCCTCTGCTCCTGAGAGTCCTGCAGACATTTCCCAGTGACCAGTCCCACCCCACACCTGGCCCGGGGCTCTGCAGGCACATGCAGATCTCAGTCCATGCTGCAAAATAACCGATGTGCGTTTTAACATTCACTGAGCACCAACTGTGTGCCAAGGTCCACACTGGGCTTTCCCCACACAACCCAACAGCCTGAAGGATGCGCTCTAAGGAGCCCCTTTTACAGAGGAGGAGATGCAGGGGAGTGGGTTGCACAGACGGGGGAAGACGGAACTCCAGCTCAGGTACTCCCTGACCTGCAATGTGAGGGTGGAAGGGGTAGCCCCGCCCTCACCTTCTCACCAACTGCTGCTATGAAAGGCTTGGGGGGACTTCCGTCTCCCCCAGGTCGCATCCCTGTGCTTACTCCTGTGAATGGAGCAGGCTGACTCAGCAAACACACTTGAGCCCCCTAACACCAAATTAAGGGCAGAAGCCCTCCCAGAAATCATCCACTCAGCAAAGCTGCCTTGGAACTGAAGTCAGAGGAGACATAGGGGGATGCAAAAGCGTCTGCTCCTAAGACCTGCTGGTGCCTCTCCCTGCCAGCCCTTATCAAACTGTGTTCTCCGACCCAGAAATCATGTCCCCAAAGTACTTAGTCATCACAGTGCACAACCAGGCCCCCGAGGAGGCTGGAGCCCACCACCCAAAGCACCTGCAGCCTCAACTATACCCACACAGGCAGACCATTTCACTAAGTGGCCCACAGCCATGCCCCCCTGCTTAATGAGGGGTCTTCCATGTTCCCAAGCCTCACTCCTGGCTGGTGCTTGGGACAGCCTGGGGCCCCCAGCACACTGAGCCTGTCACAGCCAGGAGCTACCCTCCTTCTGTCCTCCAGAAAGCTGTCCCCAAACCGTCTCACCCCCTTGCACACCTACAACTCAACAGCATCCCCTACACACACACAGAGCATGGCTGGAGGAGAGCAAAACTGGGGCCCAGAAGATAGAACAGGAGAAGGGGGGGCAAGGAGAACACTGAGCAGAGGAAAACTGCACCCCTGGAACCTGCCCTGCACGTAGAGTCCCAGCACCCACCCCGCCCATTGACCCAGACAGTGGGAAAGCAGTGAGATGACATACGGGGCCTGCAGGCCCACGGCCCACGGGACTCATCCTGCAGTCAACCCCGCCCAAGCCTGTACCCACAGACCTGGACGGGGGTGCCAGACTCACCCCACAGTGTCAAGAATGAACTTTCTGTAAAACTGGGCAGAGGCCACAGGAGGGACAGGTGCCCAGGAGGCTCCCACAGCAGGCCCACAGCGCCACGGGGCCCCTGAAGGGCACGCACACCAGGGACAGCAGCTGCCCCACCTGCCCACACCGGTGGGCTCTCTGGTCAGCAACACACAGCAACGAACCTTAGGTCCTCCCTCCAGAACCAGATGTGGTGGCCCTCTCCTTCACCTCCGACTGGGACCTCGACCTGAGTCATCTCGGCTTTCTCATGGGCTCTCCCCATAATCCTGGACCAGCCTTTCCCCTCCCTGTGTCTTGATTTCCCATTAGTACCTGCAGATGCCTCAGAGATCCTATTGTAGCAGGTCCAGGTTGGGGTCTGAGAACCTAATTTCCAATAGACTCCTAGGTGATGCTGATGCTGACAGGAGGACCACACTTTGAAAACTGTTGGCCTAGATGTGTCCAGCCTGCAAAGTGCATAGCCCACCCTCAAGAAGTTCATAGGATAACCTGAGGAGAGTATACAAATACATATGTATGTATGTACATTTGACTCAAAGCAGCCATGGCACAAAATGTGGCTTCTAACCACTAAAGAGCTCTGACAGAGAGTGGGCTGGGGGCTGGTGCAAGCATGGAGGACTTCCTGGAGGAAGTAAAGACCTAAATTACCATTTTTACTTATTGAACTCATTATTTTTTTTCCTGCAACACATGTCAGGGCCTGGGTTTCACCTCCCCACACCAAGTGGGCAGTGAGCTGAGGCCCCCCATGACTCTGGACACCAAATCTCACCCACAGTCACGGACAGAGCCACAGGTGTATTGAACTCATTATTATACAACTAAAATGTGAACGCTTTCTCCGATTAAGAGCTTCAAATAAGATGTGCTTACTATAGAGGGTAAACAGTCACTCCCTACATCTCCATCCTCACTGCCCCTTTGGTGTGAAACTTCCACCGTGTATGTGCACACACGTAGAAAAGTACGCACGTGTGTACATATAAATACAAATGAGGTTATACACAAGGGAGCATAGCCTCTGTGCTGGAGCGTAACTGCATTCTTCACTCAGCAAGAGACTTTGGAGAACTTTCCCCGTCTGCGCACAAAGACAGCAACGGTCACTGTACTACTCACTGAGCACTCACTCTGTGCCAGATCCGGGCTGAGCACTTTATGTATTATTCCAGTGAATTTGCACTACAAGCTCCTAGCATGGATGCTGTGGTTCATCCAGTTTTGCAGATGAGAAAATTGAAGTGCAGAGGGGTGGTCAGTAACCTGCTCCAGAGCCCCAGACCGGGAGCAGCTGGGCCGTGGGACTCCGGAGCCCGTGCACCAGCAACACGCCACCCTGAGGGACTCCACATAGGGCGTGCCCTGACCCTATTGCACCAGACCCCTGAAGGCTATGTTTAGGGGTCTCCAATTTTTATTTCAAACATTGCTGAAATATCCCACCTCTTTATGCATGTGTGCAAGTATTTGTAAAGGGTGCACACATTTTAAATTTTGATGCTGATTAGCAAATTGCCCTCCAACAGCGTCTGTGCAGACACATGCCTGGCAGCCCCCATTCCCCTACAGGAACACCTACTGAAGAACAATTCCCATTTGCTGAGCACCAACTGTGTGCTCAGTAAATCCATTTCGCAGTTGTGGAACTGAGGCTGAGAAAGGTTAAGCTATTTGTCCAAGTTCACACAGCTGCAAAAAAGCATGTCAATATGCCTCAATATTGTGGAGGGAGAGAGGGCTGCAGGGAGGGAGAGAGGGATGCAGGGAGGGAGGGAGGGACATTCCTCCATCCCCCATGCTCTTCCTGCTCTCTCTCCAGTCGGGCTACCATTCCCACTGCTCCACTGTACAGCTTTTATCAAGGTTCCCAGAACCCCCTATGTTGCCAACTCCGTGGCCATTCTCTGACATGCCCTTTATCTCTCGGCTCCTACCATGCCACACCCCTGGTTGCCCTTCCATGCCCCCTTCAAACATCCATGTCCCCAGGGCTCTCTGGGTTCTTTTCTGTCCTGTCTGCACAGTCCTTGGCTGGTCTCTCCTGGTCATGTAGCTTTAAATCCCAGCCAAGACCCCAGATTTCTCTCCAGCCCAGGCTCGCTCCTGAGCACCAGCTGCATGTATCCGAGAGGCCTCTCGTTTATTTCTACTTGTTCATCTAACAGGCCTGTCTGAAATGGAGCTCTTCATTTTGAGCCCCCAAATCACGTCTCCCTCGGCCTTCACTCCTCTCTTTCACATCCCACATCTAAGCCATCAACAAACCCTGACAGTTCTCCCCCACCACTGCCCCACACACCCAGCAGCTGCCTGCACCCCTTCAAGGCTCCTCCCTAGTCAGCGCTGACCTGGATGCTACAGCAGCAGCCCCCCTGCCTCACAGGCCCCCTGTTCCCTTCTGGCTCCGAACTAAACCACAGCAGCCAGCTAGTGGGACAGTTCGGATCCTGTCACTACCCCACCATAAGCAAGGGGTTTCCATGGCAGGGAGAATCAAGTCCAGTCTTTTCAAGCTTGCTCACCGGTCAGAAATCACCTTTAACCCCCGACCCCCACATGCTGACCAGTCCCAGGGTCACTGTCCTTCTGCCTGCAATGCTCTTCCCCAACGTTTCTAACATTCTGTTCAGTGGGAACTCCTTCCTCTGCCCTCATCACCCCAGGTCAAAAACCCCCATGCACCCAACCTCCCTCATTTTTCATAGTATTCACCACCACATGACATTATCTTTCTTATTTATTTGTGTCCTTCTTTCTTATGTGTCTCCTCATCATAACATAAACTCTACCAGGCAGGGAGGAATTGCGTCCAACTTGTCACCTCTGTGTCCACCTCTGTACCGTGTACAGTGCTCAACACATGGTAGATGCTCAGTAAATAGTTGTTGAATGAGTGAATGCATGCATGAATAAATGTGTGAATGAATGAATGAATGAATGAATGAATGAATGAAGAATGCACAGACAAACTGGCAGAGCCATCTCTCTCTGGCTTCAAAGTGCTCCTGTTCCCTAACACAAACTGCCTCCCTTATGAAGAAGTGTCAGAGAGCCAGAGAGCAGGGCAGGACCCTCTGAGCACGGGCAGGGAGGTGGGCATAAGGCTGAGAAAAGGCCAGCGGGAGCACAGCCTGTACTTTGGAAGACAGCGGGGCACCAGGCCTCCTGGGAAGCCAAGCCTGGCATCCCCGCCTCAGGGGGCTCTGAGGCTTTCAGACCTGCCAACCTGTCCCAATCAGGAAAGGGCCTTGGGGGCAGCTGGCAACTGAGCACACCTGGCAGGGGGCCAGGATGCCTGCCGACAGCTGGCGCTGCTGCCAGGCAGCCAAGTAATCATGTTAGCCACAAACATTGGTCCAGGGAATTTTTTTCTTTGCCTCCCATTTTCTTTCTCTTACCCTCCCCCTTGGAGCTGCAAGACTCCGAAGATTGATCTTTGTCTGAAATGGAGGAGATGACTCGATATAATGAACGCCACTGTCCCTCTTGCCGTTTGGAGCTTTAAACATTTGTTTAAAGGCTGGGGACAAACAACTTGTCCTCGGGGCTCTGAGGCCGTAACCTCTCCCCTGGAAAACTCTGCCCCTGCTCGTGCTCCTGTCCCAACTCCCCATTTGCCTCCTCTCCCTTCTGTTTCCCGTGGGATGCCTTGATGGAACAAAGGTTAAAAATAGCCCCTTTCTCTTGCAGATTTTAAAAATAATTCCATTGAGGTCAGGGCTGGATCTACCCATCGCCCTGCCTCCCATGGCCCCTGTGGCTACCTCCACTCCCCAGAGTCACCAGCCAGCCCGGGTGACAAGATGGCTCAGTCCGCCTGTTCTCACAGCCTCTCTGAAGAGAGCAAGTGAGGCAGCCTGCCCACCGAGGTAGAACCATAGATGGCTTTTGCTCCAGCTCTTAAACAGCAGCCGAATGACACACACAGGGAGCACGGCCCAAACTGGGAGCACCTCCCTGAAGGGCCGTGCCTCCCCCTTACCCCTCTCCCCCAGGCCAGCAGCCCCTCCATCTGGTGCTCATGGACCCTGTGCCCCAGCACGCACTCACTCGATCAACTTACTGAGCACCTACTCTTCTCCAGGAACCAGGCTGGGAGCTGAAGACACAGGGAGCAACCAAACCCTTCTGGTGCCTACCTCAGTGGCCTTAAAGCCTGGTTGGTATCCATGATCACTTTGTAGGGGGACACACTGGGATGATGGCCAGGGGGCCCCGAGAGCATAATCAGCGAAAGCTCCCTAAGAAAATGCCCTTGGAACAGAGATCAGAGAACAAGCAGGAGACCACCAGGCATAAGGTATGGGTGAAAGGCCCAAGGCATGGTGGGAAGGTCTCCTCTCAGGATCATGCCACCCAACTGGGGGCCTCTTCCTGGTGCTCTCTGCTAGCAGAAGGAGGCCAGACCCCACGATCCCTCACCGGGCATTCAAGGCCATTCCTAGCCTGGCCTCTGTCCCTAAGACTCCCTCACCCCTAGCCTCACCCTACAAGGTGCAGCACAAATCTTGTCTCATTGGCCCTGGAGCAGAAGGCACTACTCTCTCTGGGCTTCCACACCACTGTGCTCCTCCCCACCCTACCACAGACCACATTGGCCTGCTGCTATATGTTACAGGCCCCCTTCCCCACACGGGCCGTGCTGAGCAGTCTCTGTGTAGCTGGAGCCCCACATAGGGCCAGGAGTGTGAGCCAAGGAAAAGAAAGCAACTGGAGACACCATCAGAAGGTTTAGACTCAGGACTGAGGCATAAGTGTGGGCTTCCTAAAGAGGTGAGTCAGGACTCTGAGTAAAATAGGATTTGGAGAAGGAGTGGGGTGGGGAGGTCCAGGGCAGCAGAGACTGAGGCTCAGGAAAGGCCTGAGGAGGTGGGCACCCAAAGACTGAGGCCTACCTAGACTGATCTCTAACCTGCAGCCCCCAAGAAGTTGAGTGGGAAAGAGAAACTGAGGCCCACAGAGAGCAACTGCTTTCACTAGGCTATGCAGTTAGGCAACAGTGGCAGGAGGGATGTTATCCAAAGGTGGCAGCTGCCTCCCTCATGCCCTTATGCAGTCACTGTCCACCAGCTCCCCCCCCCCCCAGCAGAGCACACAGACCAGAATCGGGTAGCTACCATACCATGTGGCCAGGGGAGGTCCCCTGGTATGGGGAGCCTGGAGGGGCGCCGGAGACACCTGAAGTGGTTCTCCAAGGAGGAGGGTGCTGGGCCAGGAAACACATTCAGACGGGGTAAGTCCTGGGCAACGCCCAGAAGGGCCTCCCCATATTTGCTTCTGTGCCCCCCAGGGCTTCTGACCTGGCTGGGCGGGCTCCTGGGAACATGGGTCAGCCCACCCAAGCCTGAGCCTTGAAGGAACCAACCTCTTCTCCAAACACTGCATTGTCCTGAGGGATTGTGCTGGGAAATTCTGGAACCTGCCCTAGCCAGTCTCAAATTTTTAGTCCTCCACTTTTGGGCCCTGGGGACCCACCCCATCCCAGCCCCTTGGGTTGAGGACACAGCAGAGGCTAAGGGCTCTTGCCTACAAAAGACTCCCTGGGGTCCTTAGCCCAGGCCCCAGCAGCCCCCAACCCTGACACAGGGCAAGGCTACCAGGGTGGGCAGGCCCCAGGCCCAAAAGACTGCACTGTGGCAGCCGCTCTCCCCAGGATCCGCCACTGCCAGGGCCTGACCTTGTGGTTCTTCAGGCAAATGGCTTCCTGCTTCAGTATCCTCAGTACAGCCCCCAGGCTGTGGATTCTGTGACATCATGGACAGTTGGAGATAAAAGAAGCTCCGTGTACGCAGCCCTGCCCACTGCTGAGGG